AAAAAAACCTTCGTTGGGTGGTTTTCATTCACACAAATATTTGAATGCCTACTGTGTGTCAAAAAAGTCATTGTAATGCGAGGCATGGTGGTACATACCTTTAATCCCAGCACAGGAGACAGAGGCAGGCAGATCTCTGTGACCAGCCTGGTCTACATAGTGAGTTCCAGGTCAGCCAGGGCTACATAGTGTGGCCCTGTCTTAAAAAAAAAAAAAAAAAAAGCCATATTAATGACTCTTGTACTATACAAAATAGGTCAGATAATAGTTTTCACCTAAAGTGGACGTTTTTAAAAGATAGTACTAAAAGAATAAAGTAAAAGGATTGTCAAATGTGTAGAAAATGAGAACAGTGACTAAGAATATGTTATGCGTATTGTCGTCTGTTGACATGAGTTTTGTAGGTTCCATAAGTATTGCTTTGGATGATTTATTAGAGAATCTGATCATCAGTCTGGGAAATGCACGGTTAAAATGTTTTGAAATGTATTTTGTTGCACTGTGTTGTTGGAATTTTCATTGCTCTGGCATTTTCATTTTTAGATATTTTTGTTCCTTAAGCAGTTGAACATATAGAACAACGTGGAAGCCTGGCCTCAGTGCTGTCTACTCAGTGGTGGCATAACATAGTGCCTGTTTGTCTGCCTTTCCTGTTGCTGGACTGTGGTGTGGAGAGCATAGCTTCTGCAAAGTGACTCTCCTAGGTGTTGTATTCTGTTGTGATCAGGACTTCTGACAACTGAGCAAGTTGCATTTAGATGACTTGTTGCAGTTATAGAATAGTGACTTGATATGTAAATCTCACAAGACCTAGAGACTAGGGCTTTCTCTCTGTGCTAGAGGGCTTAGCAACATGCTAGAAGTCCTGGGTTTGACCCATGGCGGCACAAATAGTGGTAACAGGGCCTGGTGCTTTCTTAACAGATTCTGGTTGATGGTAAGAGCAGTTTTCTACCGTTTGGGGTTGGGGAGTCTTACCTTTATTTTTCCTGCAGATGTATTCACCAGGCTGAGGTTGAGCACCAGGGGGAAACGTGCAGATAGTAAAAGTAGGGTTGGGCCACTGAGAGAGTAATCTTTTTGCCTTAGTCATCAACAGTGGAAAAGCACTGGGTATTTACCTGTACTGGTGTTGATGGTTTATTTTATTGTATAAAGTAACTTTGATATGGTAGGTATGGGTCACTGAATTGTTCTTTATAGAAGTCTATTTTATTATTAAGGAATACTTTGAAAATTGAAAAGAGAAATAGCCAGTGCTTACTGAATACCTTGCTATGTTTCAGGCACTTCCTATTCCTTGTCTTTATTCCTCACCAGGTTGCCAGTGTGTACCCAGATTATGGACATTTTCACCATTATGGCTTATAATAGAACTAGGATTTGTACCTAGGTCTTTTGGGCTTCAGAGTCCATTTTTTATTAGACTAGTAAAGCTAATAAGATAGATTGTAAATAAGTCCTCGCCTTGCTGTATTTTGATACTGAAATTACTGTTCACGTCCAGAAGAAATAAAAGGAGAGGGATGATTACATTTACTTTGCAGAGGAACATATAAAGAAAGATTACTGGAGAAAGATAACATCTTAGGAGATTTGGGGGACAGTGTAAAAGTTCCTAACTTGGTAGAAGATGAGGAGCGATGACATTTGGGGGGAGAGTTGTGTAGTTATATATTTAACCATCGTTTACTCATTCCTGGACTTTTGTGTGCTGATCTTGTGGTTGGGTCCTGAATCTTTGAATATTTGAAGATATAAATTCCACGAACGTTAGTTTTTCCTTCTAAGAGTTCTGAAAGTTCCCCCTGCCCAATGCATCTCATAGCGCCCAGCCTCCCTCCCTTCACTTTGCTCTTCTAGCCTGCCCTAATAGCTTCTAGACCGTACCTGGTTATTGTCTAAAGACTTGGATCTATTTGCGCCTATGTTTTTAGTGCAGTGAATGCTCAGGAAGTGCCTTGATTGAAAGTTTGCACAGGAGGTAAAGTTTTTTTCTGCCTTGCTTGCCTGAACCAAAAACTATGTGTATGAATCAAGTAGAAGGATGCAATACTTTAGATATGTTTGAAGGGAAGCAAGTTTTTAGAACTTGAAGTTACTGTTTGACTTATCTTCTAGCTTCTAGCATTGTTGAAAAGACCAGTGCCATTCAGACTTCGGAAAATAGTTAAACCTGTGCTCTCTGTAAAAAATATAAAGCTTGGGTTTTAGATATTTTACTTTGATCCTTTTTTCTTCTTGAACACTAGATTTTTTTTTCCTAAATCAGGTTGCATTTTTATTTCATAGGAATACACTTTGGCATGGCTACTTGTTTTCTTTTTAAATTTTCTTTTGGGAAAATAAGTTGGATTTTTCTCTTTTCCTGGTTCTGTGGTTCTGTTTAGTTGGACAGTAGACCACCCGGATCGATCTGATTTTATTATCTAATCTCCTTGACTTTTGGTTCTACTTCCTGGGAAGCTGTGTAGAAGAATGAAGGACTTAGGGTCTGGAACTGGAAGAGCTGTTGGAATTCTGTTGTTGCAAATGAATAAATAATAAATAATACATGGTTTTACAATAAAACCATGTAAGTTACTTGCCCATTTTTCATCATTGAGGTAAGACCAAAATCCAGATGTTGGGGTGTATTAATTAATTCCTACAAAAATACCTAATTTCCTGATACATAGTAAATATTCTTACTAGTTGGCTTTAGTATTACCTCAAGTCAATCTATGTGAATTTTTAATTTAAAAATTTTATTTTTAATACCTTTACATTGTGTGTGTGTGTGTGTGTGTGTGTGTGTGTGTGTGTATGCGCGTGCATGTGTTTTATGTGTTTGGGGACACACCTGCCATGATGTGTGTATGTGGAGGTCAGAGGACAGTTTTGTGGAGTCTTGTTTCTCTGTTACCATGTCCTGGCCTCCCATTCTGGGTTTGTGGATGCAATGTCATCTTGAATTATAATTAGTTAATTGAGAATATTGGGGGGGGGAGCCTTTAATGTATAAGATGGAAATCAAAACAAGCAACTAGGAGCAAAATCAAATCAAAATCTTAATATTTTGGACTGGGACCAGGGTTTGGCACTACTGAAATCTGTCTTCTGAATAGACTAGGTCTTATGTGTTGGAAGCAGATGAAGAATGTCTGTTTGATTACTGTCGATCTCCTCAGAGCTTCTGCCCCTTCCTGCACATGTACTCCAGTGTCTCCTTGAGGCTTTGTTTTCTGTACTTACCTCATTTGCTGTCTTTTTCGGAAGTTCAGCTGACACCTGAGCACCATGAGCATTCTGGACTCTGTTACCTACTGACCTTTGTGCTTCAGTTTTTTACTACTGATCAGTGTCATCATCTTGCTATCTCTTACTTACATTTCCAAGAAAAACTGATCATCCCAGCCCATCATTTCATTTTACTTCTGATTTTTTTACTAGCCAAACTATAAATCTGACCTGAAAGTTTTCCAGATCAGCTTGTGCACCCTTAGGTTGTGAGGATGAAGGGAATATTGGGGTAACAGGGATATAGGATATATGATGACTGTCTAAGCAAGTAAGAAACCAGGGGTGAGATGGTTGTTTTGTAAACCAGGAGGCAGAACAGAGTTGAATATATAGTGTATTCTCTCATTTAGTATGCTACTTTAAAGAACGATTTATTTTTATTGTACGCGCGTGTGTGTGCGTGTGTGTGTGAGTGTGTGTGCATGTGCGTGTGCATGTGTAGCAAATGTACCTGGTACCCATAGGGACCAGAGAAGGCATCGACTTTCCTAGAACTGGAGTTACAGACAGTTGTGAGCCATTATGTGGGTTTTGAAAATAGAATTGGGATCCTCTGCAAGTGCAATCAGTGCTCTTACCTGCTGAGCCATCTCTCCAGCCCCTTTTAGTTTGTTTTTGAGTTCTTAAGGCAAATAATGCTTGTTGATTATTGTAGGAAAGTAGCTAATTGACTGCAAATACCTGCCTTGGTTTAACATTTTTTATTTGCATAATAACTTCAGTAGAATGGTTTGGCAGCAAGGCTACCATATTAGTCAGTGTTTTATTGCTATAATGAAAGACAAGGGTTGCTGACTTGAAAAGAAAAGAGGTGTCTTCAGCTCACATTTCTGGAGGTTCATGGACATGAATTGGCATCATTTTGGCTCTGATAAAGGCTTCATGGTGTTTAACACCACAGTGATAGGCATGCATGTAGGGGTGAGGGGTCACCTTGTCAACAAGAAGCAAGGGAACCCTTAAGGGACAGGCTGAGACACCTAACAGCTAACTCTGAAGTCCCATAAGAACTACTTTAATCCTTTTGAGTCCAGGCCCTTGGCAACCTAGCAGCCCCCCCACTAGGCCCTTTAAACAAGCTGGTGATGAAGCTTGAGCATAGAAGTTCTCAAGATGCAAACTCAGACCATCACCAAATATCCCAAGTAGTAATGTAAGCATCAGGAGTCTTAGATGGCAGACCTGCTTTTGCTGTTCTGAAAGCCTTTGCACTCTTCTTGAGATAAGATTTTAAGATTGTGCAGAATAGTTCCTTAGGTACTATGTAGCTATGAAGAATGTGACTGATGGTATATCAAATGGGAGACATAATTTTCACAGTGATGCTTAGAATAGAAAACCATTGTAACATGAAAGTCATATATATGTAGATGACTGTTTAAAAAAAAAAACCAAGAAATAGGGTAACCTGAGTAATAGATTAGGAGTAGATACGGGAATCTTATAGTGGCACTCATTCTTCTTATTTAAATTTGTTTTTATTAAGATAATGGGATGATCTTCCTAAACTCATTTAAGTCGTACTAATTTTAGTCACAATCTTTTTTCCCCCCAAATTGAGTACTATTGCATTACTTTAAGTATAATATTGAAGTTTGAAATGCTTTTGACCTTCCATGCTTTTTTAAAACTATAGTTTGATATTCAGAATAGTTAAATAACCTGAGTTTCTTTGATTTTTTTTATCTTTATTATTATTATTATTATTCTTTTTTTAGGATTTAAGTGCCCAGTATGCTCAAAATTTGTACCCTCAGATGAGATGGATTTGCATCTTGTGATGTGTTTAACAAAGCCAAGAATAACCTATAATGGTAAGTCTGCTTTAAAATAATATTTAAATAAGAATTACTGTAAATAATGTGAGTTTCATGTTTTTTATAAGAAAATATTTAACTGCAAGGATAGTATCTTCCATTTTTGTGAGCTCTTTAATTTCTGACTTGATGACAGAGAGTTACCACATTTTTTGGCATTCAGGTCTCTTTTTTTTTTTTTGGTACACTGGAGAGAATGGGAACTAAAAGGGCAGATGATGGTATTGTAAAAATAGTTTTTACTTTGTTGAACTAAAAGGATCTCCAAGACACATTGGCAAAAGTCTACTCCAGAAAACTTTTTGGACTACACTCTGAGAGCTGCTGTGTTAAAATAAAATCTTTTATTCAGGCCTAAGCAAAAAGTAACGTTTGTGATAATCATGTTCAGACATAAGTTTTGAAATACTAGAAGTAAAAATAAAGTGTTTCCATAAATATAGTAGATAGACAAATGATGGAAGAAAATAATGTGTGAAACAGAGACCAGAACTTCATCTATGTCATGCATACCTGTGTCTTTGGCACTAAATTTCATTCTGTGAGCGCTAGGTCTAGTTTGAACTGTGGTGTTGTTTCCTCACTGAAATCTCTAGATATTTTAGACCCTAGTAGTAGAGTCTTTGTCACAGCACACTTTGGAATAAACTTGGGAGTTAAAAATCAAATAATTCCCTCCTGACTAATAAGCAGAATAAAATAAAGGAAAAATGCAAGTAGTTTTCCAAAATTTTGCAAGTAGAAAAACAAACCAGTTGAATTTGGTGGTTCTTGCCTGTAATTTTAGCATAACCAAGACTGATAAGGAACCAGCCTGGTTTTCTATACACAAAGCAAGACCTCATCTTTATGAAGAAATAATTTAAAAATAAGAGGAGCAGAGCATGGTGGCACACACCTTTAATCCCAGCACCCAAAAGGCAAAGCAGGCAGATGTCTGTAAGTTCAAGGTCAGCCTGGGCTACACAGTGAGACCCTGTCTAAAAATATAAGAGGAATTTAGCTCTTACCTAAGTGCCACTTTAAAAAAAGAATGGACTTTAGAGGCTTAAGAGAAAATTTCCAGATTTAAACATTTTTAGTTTGAAATAAAACAAGTAGCAAAATACTAGTAATTGGTAAAATCAGTTGAAAGAGTGACTGAATTCAAAGTTATCTTTTGAGTACGTACTCTGCTAAGTCCTATGGATGCAGCAGTAGGACAAGTAGAGAAGTAACCTCGTATTCATTGGAATGAGCGTTTTCTGTGGGTAACCGTGTTGGTTGAAGAACACTCCCAAGGTAGTGTCTCCAGCCACAGATTACTATGCTAACAATATGGCATTTCTTTCTATTCATTTGCCAATGTATACATGAAAATGACTTTTAGCAATTACCTTGAATAGTAAATGTATGTGTTCTTTCCTCACTTTTTTGCATTATGGAATTGGCTACTTTGCATAATCTAGTTTTCATAGTCTACTTAAAAGAAAATTTTCATTTGTGCTTGGAATTGGGGACTAAAGTGTATGGGCTTCTCTCAGTACTTGCTCTGTTATTTTCTCCTTGCATTTCATAGTTATGTTAACTACTAATACCCTTAAAGTAACTATATTCTTAAAGCTTAAAACTTGAATTTTAAAAAGTGCAACTATAGGGGCACCGACTGTTCTTGCAGAGGACGTGGGTTGGATTCCCAGCACCCACATCGCAGCTAACAACTGTCGGTAACTCCATTCCAGTAGATCCAATGCCCTCTTCTGACCTCCAAGGGCTTTGCATGAACACAGGTCTACTTGCATACATGCAGGCAATACACTCATGTATATAAAATAAAAAAAATA